TTTCGTAAGCGGCAGCAATGCCAGTTACTGTGAACAGAATAAAAGTAGCCCGGCTTACATCAAGCAGAAGGTAAGAGGGGACAAAAAAAAACCCCCACAGTTGTAAATAAACTTGCAGCCATTAGGTGCTGTCTCAACGTAACCTGCTTTTACATAACCTTACTTAACCTTTTATATATAGAACAGGTTATTTTTAATATATAGAACAGGTAGTTTTGTAAACTGCTGCCACTTTACTGTCTCATTGCTCTTGTCTTGCACTGTAGGTAGGTGTAGTGCTTTAAAGACAAAGATTTGTCTCCAGGAAGATGCTGAGGTAAATTCGTATTTTAACAAGAGTTGAAAATCACCTCAGAGGATTTGGCCCGAATTGGCATTGGCCTGACGTTACAGCGGGTTCCACTGAAGGCTCCTCCTTCCAGAAGGAGCTGGGCATGTGTTTATGAGCCATCAGTTGTCTCTGTGACTTCCAGTGTAACTATCTAAACTTTAGCAAACGTCCTGTAGTTTTCAGGAATAAGATCTAACCTGGAATACATTTGTTTCAGAGGAATTAAAAGTAAGAAGAATGAGGGGGGGTTAAGGTGAAAATTTTTGTGGTTTTAAAATGTGAAAAATTATTTAACTGATCTTTGCACAATCGAACATAATTGAGGATTTATCATTCATAGCAGTGCTAGTCTGCCTTGTTGAAATATAAAGATGGCAAGATGACAGCATCCCATGGTCGATTACATTTTTGGCACTTTTTCATAGTTCAGCGTGCTGGGTAGCTAGTTTTTGACTGGAACCTCTTCCCTTGCACTTCCAGTGCAGTTTTAATGCTACACTTAAGCAGAACTAACTGTGGGCTGCCAGCAGAAGAGATGATCATATTCCAGTTTCCTTTCCCCTCTCCCCCCTGCTTTCATTGTTCCCCCCTGTGTGTTGTATCCTGCAATTCCACAGTTAACAGGCTACGGTTTGGATTTGATATGGGCACTGATTCAACAGAAACCTCGTCTCTTTTTTTGAGTTTGTTGTTTTTTGAGCGTTGTTGTTTTCCGAAGCAGTACACTGCTCTGACACGCTCTGGCCGCATGATTGCTGTATCTAACATGGGGATGGCAGAGGGAACACATTTGCAGAAGAGGTACAACAGAACCATGCTTGGCAACAAACAACTGGCAGTTAGGTTGGATTAAGTGGAACATGAAACCACTGTAGTCAGAAAAGTAGATGACTCGGGCTGTAAATTACACAGAAGATGGAGTTATGGAAACAGTTAGCTGGCATTCACCTATACTGCTGAAAGGGTGGCACCTGAAAATTTTCGCTCTCATCCCAGATTTGAATCTCTGATGTGCTGTGTATGCACAAGACTGAACACCTGAGCTTATCTACTTCATTTGTCATATATAAAAGATTTTTTTTAATGGTACGTGCTTCCATTGAAGATGATCAAAGAAATAATTCAGGATTGTTAGCGTGGAGTAGGTTATTCCTCCTGTGACAGAAGCTGGTCTTAGTAGAAAGAATGTGAAAGTAAAGAGGTCAATAGAATTGTAGTCCAGAGCGCTTTCTGGGCTGACCCATCAGCGGAGGAAGGTAATGTATACTACCCATTGGAATTAATTTGGAGATAATAACCAATTATTGTCTGAGTACTTAAGTTACCCCCCCAAAGTGTTTTCTTTAGTATTAGCTCCCCGTTTGGTGCTGTGTGTGGGCATTTTGTCATATGGTGTCATGTGCCAATAGAAGGGGCAACTCTAAGAAAACCATATGTGGTACATAGAGTTCTAATTGCAGAGCCCATCAAGAACCCTACATTTCACAAACATTTCTGCACTTCACATCTGCTAGAAACCCCTCAAATTCAATGTGATTTTCAAATTGCAATCACCTATGCTCAGGATACAAGACGACTTCATATTTCTTTTTGCAAACCACTGAAGCGGAGTGCTTAATTTCAGCTGAAGTTTAGATAGCATCTCTGATGTGGTGGTGAATTCACACATTACAGGGGTTTTTGGTGTAAAGGATACAAAGTATAATTAACTTGATATTTGAGAACGCAAATCCTTCAAGACGGTAGTTGAATAGTGGCCAATAGAACTTCCTTGTTTTGCTTTCCTGCAAAAATTCTATTCCCTCCATTTCAATGATTGCCAGCAGGGCATGAGTTTTTGAACAATCATACTCTTGTCTGGACGTCTCACCTGCATTTTGATACCACGCTTGTTACCATAGTATAAGAATGTAAAATGCTCAAACCACCTATTAATTTCAGTGGAACCCGGTTTCTCTGCTGAGTAATAATTTTATGTATGGGGAAAAGAGTAGATCCAGTCAAACAGTTCCCAGCCCTTTGCTGAGCATATGTGAAGTAGGTGTTCTGGATTTTCCAAGGCTATCCTAACTGACTTATGTTTACAGAAACTGTAAATTTTGCTGTCGGGAGTGTTCCCAACAGGCCCTGTTTGGCATTAACTTTTAGAAGAACACCTCCCTTAATAGTTAATTTAGTATAAGTCCTTCTGTTCTGAGGATGGAGAAGCTTTTTACTAATCTCACCTACTTCAGAGCAAAATGTAAAAGGAAATTGAAGACAAAAATCACTTGGAGCCTGCAAAAAAGTAGAATATAGTTCAAAATGGATAGTCTTTGCAGATTTTAGATTAATTATTACTTACAATTAGAAGGAAATTAGTAATTTTATAATAAAATGAGTTCAAATGTAATTTGAATGAAAGCTGAAGCATGCCCATCACTGGCTTGGATCATCTTTTTTTTTTTTTTTTTTAGCTCAGAAAGAGCTGTATTATTAATCATTAAACATGATTTATCATCCACTTTATTTATTATCCAATCCAAGCATTTTCCTTTGCTACTCAGTAATATTTTTTAATTTTATGAGCCTGTCAGTTTAGCATGCCCTGTACATTGTTCAACCTCAGGCACTACACTTCTCTCTCAATTTAATCCTTATATAAGTGAATTGTTTCTTCATTTTCATTCTTTTAATTTTGAAATCTGTGATTTTAAGAACTATTTCTGTCCACCATGAGCTTTTTTTCAGAGTAGAATGAATTTGCAGATTAAAAAACTAGACCTTTCTCTTCAAATTTATGTAGTCCATTGATTTTAATAGAGTTACATGATTTTAAAGCAGCTGCGGGTTTGACCTATTGTTTTCTGTATTCCTTTCCATTGATTTTATAAAAACATGAAGTGGGCAGTTGAGCGCTTTACATGCTAAATGGAGTTTTTTCTGTGCTTTTGTCTTTTAGTCTTCTCATCAGTAGACAACAAGTCATTTATGTCTGCAAGGTTATGGTCATTTGTGGTATCTGGATGTGTAGCCATGTTCTTGATGTTGCACATCTACTTCCAAAACAATGAAACCCAAGTCTTTGTTGTTTTATTCCTCCAGTTTAACACTTCATTATGGTTTTACAATAATATTTGTATTGTATGGTTAATGTGGGTTGAGATGGTATATAATAATATCTAGTTTTGTTTCTAATGTGTTAGGATTTCTTTGCCACTCATGTCTTTGAACCTGATGATCCTAGTAAAGAAGCAATGCCTGCAACTGCATAGAGTTCTCTTTGTCAGCAAGGAAGGGGTTAAAGATCAGAATATCATTTTCCATCTCGGTTTTTTCAGTCTTCATGGTTTTGGCCCTTCCAGTGTGACTACAGGTGCTGGCCAGTGGACAGGACATCATAGAATCATAGAATCGTTTAGGTTGGAAAAGACCTTTAAGATCATCCAGTCCAACCATTAACCTACACTACCAAGTCTACTCTAAACCAATCAAGGGTAGACTAGACTAAACCATGTCCCGAAGTGCCACAGCTACCCGTTTTTTGAACACTTCCAGGGATGGGGACTCCACCACCTCCCTGGGAAAGAGAGTAAAGGGAAGAGAGTAAAGACTCCAGAGTAAAGACTCCAGAGTGCTGGGGGTCTTCAGGCCTTTCCTTGAGGGCCTCAGGATCAGTTGAATTTTCCTTTTGCAATAAAATCTGGTATCTTGTGAACAAAAGACATTGAACTAGAAACTTGTGGTCTTTGCCTGTAAATACAAATATGAATTTATAGAGCATTCAGCAGCTTTTAAAATTGCCCAAAGTACATTCCTGGAAATTCTTGGGTTTTCTCATTTTTTGGGTGCTACTCAGTGGGGATTATGTTAGCTACAGAGGAAACACCTGAAATGTGGAGTATCGATGGCTTGAATACAGGCTGAGAATGGCTTGGGAAGGCTTACACAGCTGTACCTGCAACTGATTGAAGAGTGCAACCCCTGCCCAAGTCAGTGTGATACCTCAGAAAACTTGAAGAAAACTTTCGGAGTGACTTTACTCTCTGCATCTGAAAGTTTAGCTTATCAAGTGTAAAGGGTTTGTGCAAATGAAGTTACTTCCTTTTTCCCTGCTGCTCTTCTGTCTGATCAGGTGGTTGTCTATGAAGGGGCTGCTGTGGCTGCTGTCTGTCTAGCCTGCATCAATGCATTAAAATCAAGATCTGAATTAGCTTGCTGAGCGTCATTTACCAGCTGGCTTCCTGACAAGATAGTCTTTTTTTTTTGATTGACTTTTCTTTAGTTCTTTTTTCTACTGCCATTCATGTTCTGTTAACTGTTTGTTTTTCAGCTACATTTGATTTTTGTACTTCTGTTAAAAAGAACTCAGAAATTTTTCCCATAATGGGTGTTCACAGTTTATTGTCATAGTGTTAGCTGCTGTTCCCTATGTGAATACCTGCTGTAGCATATCTATAGAGAGATCACTAATTTGCACAGTTTCTGAACTCAGAGCTTTCCAATGTTTTAAAAATGAGTTAATTCACATACCTGTGAGTCAGTATAATTTTTAATGCAGTGTTTCAAGTTTGTGGTTGTTATTGTTGTTGTTATTATTATTAACATTGTACACTGGGATGTCAGAGCAAATCCTGATCTTTTTACTTGCACAATGTGCTAGTCAGTGAATTGTTTCTTTGTAACCCTCACAGTAGGATTATTTAGGAAGAAAAATAATCTCCTGTGAGTAGGGAGCATGGGATGTGTTCCTCAATCAATGACTGTTTTACTACTGATTTCTGAGAGACGAAAATAGGCCCGGTGTCCTTTTGCCATACACTGTAGTGGAGGAGGTACTTACAGTATAAGCACCAGCTCTTGTAAATGCATGTTCAAAAGAATTGTTCTCTTGTCTCCATTGAACCTTCTCTGTCAAGAGTACTAGTAAGACTGTGTCTTAAGAAATAAGTCCTGGCTTAAAATATAACAAGGGATGTTTGAGGAATACTGAAGGTAAAATTACAAAAACAGGAGTCTTTGAATATGAAATTCCTTTTTATTACCTTTTTATTACTGTAATATAATGCATTCTTATAAATACAGTAATGTACTGTATTTTATTATAGCATAATAAATTATAATGTCATAATCTTACAGAATTATATTGTATGTATTAAGTTTTATAATAATATAATTTATAACATATAAACATGTACTCATTCATTATATTGCATGCTAATCATTATGTGGGTGTAATATTATTATAGATTTTTTTTTTACAATGTATTATAATATTTACAATTATTTTTGTTTTCTCTTTGCAGGAAGTTCAAGAAAAAGCCTCTATTTTTAATATGGAGTTGGACTTAACTGGGGCAGTTCCCAGCCTTATAGTTGCCTTTGTCATTGTAGCTAATGGGGATCGCCAAGGACGCAAGAGGTCTTTAGTTTTACCATCAATGGGAGCTTTGATTGCTAATATTTGCCTCACTGCAATATCATATTTTTCCTTGTCACTCTCTATCCTATTTGCGGTTGCATTTGTTTCTGGACTGTTTGGGAGTATGGCAACTTTCCTTGGAGGAGGCTTTGCTTTTATAGCAGACGTGTGTCACGATGAGAAGCAGAAGACAACACGAATAGCCGTGGTGGATTTGATTTTTGGAGTTGTATCTGGATTGGCAGGACTGTCATCTGGCTACTTTCTAAGAGGAATAGGCTTTACATGGACATTTGTGACATCATCTCTCCTTCATGTCGTTAATATTATCTATATTATATTTTTTCTGGAAGATACAGTAAGTGTATCTGAATTCCAGCACCAGGCACCAGTATCTTGTAAAGACCTCCTTAAAGAGACATTTTCTGGAGTGTACATGCTTTTTAAAACTGCCCCTTATAAAAAGAGAATTTTAATAACTGTGTTACTTTTTACATTTATGACTTACTTGTTTACTATGGTTGGTGGGAGTTCGCTTTTTACACTGTATGAACTAGATGAGCCACTCTGCTGGAATGAAGTATACATTGGATATGGAGCAGCTGCGTTCACTTCTGTCTCTCTCACCAGTTTTTTAGGAGTTTACTTATTTTCTAAATGTCTCAAAGACATTTATATTGTCTTTATTGGGATATTTTCTTACATTGGAGGAATGGTCATGGCTGCCTTTGCCAAAACTACCCTGCTCATGTTTTTAGGTGAGTTCAGAATCAGTCATGGTCAACAATATATATGAAAATACTGCTGTGTTATCTGTAGTGAGTGTAGTTGGTAGATATTGGACATACTGTCTCAAAAGGGTCATAGAGAGGTAAAATATTCAAGGCTGGGTCGGACTGATTTAGGATTTATTTAAAAGATGAAGTGTGTGGAGAGTGAATGGAATTACTTGGTTATGATTTGGTTTTAGTGCAGTACAGGCATATTGGATTTATTAATTTCTCTGCACTTGGATAACTGTGTCTCCGTGTCTTTAACTATTTGGGGAACTGAGCATTCAAAAGTATGTGCCTAATTCATTTGCAACATATTTGTAAAATCCTGGGGTTTTGTTATTTCAATGTCTCATGACTGATTCATTGCTTTACAGTAAGAGTGCCATCTTTGTTCTGCTTTATGCCTATTCCTGTTCTCCGATCCATGCTGTCAAAAGTGGTTCTCACTGGTGAACAGGGTGAGTAGAATTTGTTTTTAAACAATACAATAATATGGTATTTCAGAACAGAGATGCACCAAGATTGCCTTTAAACAAACAGATATGTATTGGTATTTTAAGACTGCTTTTCTTTTAAGTTCCATATAACATGACCCTGTGTCACAATATGAATGACTTCTGATTCTGAATTTAATGTAAACAACATTGTGTTTAAAAACTACTGCAAGTTTCAACCTTCAAAGGAGATACTGCTCTAAAATTAAAGATCATGGGGAACTTGAAGCAGAGAAATGCTCAAGATTTACACAGATGTGATTTCACAAGTACTTCTATATTCACAAGATTTTGACATGCAAAGAAAGATACACTTCTGTTGTTTGTCAGTGTCACACTTAATAATTTAGAAAGGTAAGCAGTAGGTGGTCAACCTTCAAAGCGCTTGAAAACAATTAAAGACATGGATCCTGAGCTATGTGCCCGGCTTCACAGGTGCCTGTGGCTACTTAAACATGTCCCAAAAGATATAGCATGTTACTTCCCAAAGTGCTTTCCATATGGAACACAGAAAAAAGCATGTCAGGCCTCAAAATGTGGCTCTAGTATCCCATATTTTGCTGTAACCAAGTTTTGGGGAGCGTATACTTTCTAGAAGCATTTGCCTGAGTTGTTTGGCTTTGTTTTTTAAAAGACGTATCTTAATACACTAAAACAAAGATCTCTTTGTACATAACTATGCAAACATACACCTTTGTTTTTGCAGTTTCTTGGCATTCTTCAGGACTTTGACTACTTGAGTAGTTTGATGCAGGAATCAGATTGCCTCTTGTCATCCTTTTCTGCTTATCTATTGTGATTTTGTTTATGGTCCCATGAATATGAATGCAGCTTTGGAAAATGTGCTTAACAAGACACTGATAGACTGCCACCCCAATGGTAGTTCAGAGCAAAAAAGATTGCTTCTTTCGTTCCAAAAATGAGAAGGAGATGGTTATGTGCTGAACCAGCAGTCTTTGTTGGATCAGAGCCTTTTCTGTATATAAGGGTGAAGACTAGAGAAAGAAGAAATAAGAAAGGGAAGAGTGAGAATCAAGAGGAGAATTGGAAGGGGCAAAGGATGGTTGGTGAGGATGAACAGTTTGAACTTCATATGATAAGCAGATTCAAGAAAGTAGGTATGGTGACAGAATAGTAGCAAAGAAAAATAGTTTCCATCAGCAAAATGTTTTTTGGGTTTTGGTGTTTTGGGGTTTTTTTCCCATTTAAAAAACAAGTCTTTTGTAGGAAACCCCACAGAAGACATTTTTATAGCAAAGACATATGAGACTCCGGTGCTTGTTACTTGCATACTTGCTAAAATACTGTAGATGATAGATCTTTCAGAACACCTTTTAAAACTTCAGTACTTTGAAGGGGTTTTGGGTTTATTTTGTTTTGTTTATAATTCATCCATTTGTTTTTGGCAGGTGCTGTGTTTGCTTGTATTGCCTGTTTGGAAGTTGTGACCGGCAGTATTTCACTTTCAGTTTTTAATACTCTCTATGCAGCTACTGTTGCGTGGTTTTCAGGCTTTAGCTTCCTCTTATCAGCAGGCCTTTGTCTAATTCCACTGGCTGTCCTGTGGTAAGTATGTATCAGGAGGGTGCTTCTGACTGCTTTTATTGGGAATTTCTGTTTTGACATGAGTTGAAGCTGAATGGTTTAGTGCAGTGGTTCTCAAACTTCCGTATTTTCTAGTGTGCTGGGCTTATTTTGTGTGTAGCCTTCCCTCCAGCTTCCACCCAGTTCAGGAACTGCGTATATCTAGCATGCCTGTGGAAGGCACAGGGGGCTGCTAGGAGTGGAGCAGAGCTGAAACAAGGGGACATGGCAGTGTCTTCCCTGGGGGATCAGATAGGAAAGAGGGAGCTCAGGCTATGGGGGGCTGCTTTCTCTCAGTGAGGCTTGTGACCAGTCTCTGAGAGAAGTGGCTCCACAGCCGCTGGTAGCTGTAGTTTCCTGGTTTTTCTCTCTTCAACATCTACTCCTCTACACCTTGCTGGAGTTTTTCCATAATCGGCCCTCTCTGGCCTTGATCCAGCTGCCGCCCTTCAGCGCCGTGCTGTGAACTTGTCACCTAATTCCACCAAACTGAAATCTACCCTGAACGTACTACCAGTGGGATACGCTATACCCTTGACTCCATGTGTGTGCCTTCCCTTGGGTTGAGACCTTTATAGGTGTCCCTGAGGAGAGCCTTTGACAAAACAAAAGTAATAGATCACTTGAAAGGCATGAGCTTAGTTTTGCAGTCTGAGCTCTTCTAGATGCTAATGAGGGTTCTAAACATTACCAATCACCCTGTGAATTTAATGGGAAGTTATCTGTCCCAGTCCTTGGTCATGGGTGCCTTGTGACCCAGTGCCATCAAAATCTGTAAAAGACCTGCACTAACTTTAAGCCCCATATGGATAAACCTCTAGACATGTTTAAAAAAATATGCCTCTATAGCATTTGCATCTAATCATATCTAGTGACCATCTAGTAATACTGACAGTGAAAGGTCATTATTCATCATGAGTATTCACAAAAGCAAAGTTCACTTTACATTCGTTCCAATATAAATGATGTCTTTTTATGATGCTGGAATATAGATCTAAATGACCGAAGGATCACTTTTCATTAGATAGATTTATATTCAGGGAGAAAAGAAGCTGGTTTTCTTAAGAGGGTGGTAATCTTGCTGGAGACTTCTACCTGTTTTCCTAATGCTTAGACTTTACCTCAGTCACCTTTTATCTCTACATCAGATGCATTTTAAGTTTTAAATAGGCAGTGATAATGCTATAGATTTATAACATCTCACATAATTTCATGTCTATGCCTGCCTGACTACAGTGTATTACACTGATATTCAGAGAAGCTGCACTAATGGTAACTTAAGACTAAGGTAATGATGGGTCTCAGACCTGAAGGAATTGAAGCAAAGGGGTCTTGTGCTGAGTGTGGAGGATACTTTTCAGTAAAGTAATAAAAAAGTGAGGAATTCAGTTATATTAACAAAGGCCCAGTAAATACTTCTGGTTTATTAAATATTAGTTTTAGTTCAGTTCAGTGCTGTATGATAGAGAAAGTTTCTGTTAAGAAAGCACTCTGTTCTGTGCAAAAGGCAACAGATGTTTACCATCAATAGTCCATCCTGCAATCAGGACTTTACTCCATCATCACCATAAATTTTTGGAAGTTATTTTTCTTTTACTTCTGTCATTAGTGTCTCAGATACCCCACCCTTTGAATAACCTTTCTCTAAAACCTTTATTTTGAGAGTGTCATGCAATGTTACTGTTTGAGAGCAGAAAGGGTAGTTCTAGTTCCAATCTGTAATGACTCAGGCATACTAGTTTAGTACTTGTCAAAGACAGCAGTAATGATATTGTCTAACTTGTATAATAAGGGCAAGTACCATCATTGCTTTTGTTTACTAAGATACATCAACAGCTTTGTGCTACAGAAGATGGCTGTAACAGAGCTATCGAATGTGTGTGTTGGTGCTGAATCAGCATGCTATACTTAACTATGTCAGCTAAAGATATCTGTCTTATCTGTGTCTTACAGCTGGCTTCTGTGTACAAGCTGGAATGGGGAGGACTTGGCTCTGCTTGTACCTGAAGAAGTATCCAGCATAGAGAGCACTGATAGTTGAACAAGGATTCACCTACCTGGGTTTTCTAATCTGACATGCAGTGGCAGAGACCATTATGTCATAGAGAGACCACAGAGATAACACAACACTTGCAGACGCGATCTCAAAGTGGCCCTGCAGCCATAAGCACTAAATTGGTAGCACTTTTTATCCAGTCTCTTTTTACCACTTGAATAAAGCTAGCTCTTATACTTAACTATGCAAATAGGCTGGCAATGGAGACTTCAGTGCTGCTTTCAGCATTAAGAAAAAAATAAGGTAGGATGATACTCTCTTTCCACTTACCCTTTGTCAAGTTTGAGAATGTCAGCTGTGGATTGTGATACATCTTGTAGCATTCTAAGTGGGGTGACAGATATAAGCTTATCAACTCAGAGGGTGCTGGCAATTCTGCTCAAGCCGGTGGAGCTCATGCCAGCTGAGAATGTGGTCCACTGTGTACATCTTAAAAAGCCCATCTTAATGGTGAAGCCCCCAAATCTGTCTAAAATTACTAGACTAAAAGAGACTTTTTTGAGAAAGCAACCAAACTGGAGGCGTACTTGCACCTGCTGTAAGCAGACTTACTGCTCTGCAGTTAGCAGGGAGCGTTTGTGTAAGCTTAACGTATGATGTGTGGACCTTGCCTGTGACTTAGTTCTTAAAATGGATTTTCACGCAGAACTGTCATACTTAGAAAATTTCCAGCTTGCAGAGCGTGAAGTTAGGCCTATGCCTACATTTTGCAGAGGCCATATTGCACATTTATTTTTATCATTTTCCATATATTAGGGACTGCATAGAGACACCTCTATTTTTTGTCCCGTAGATATTTCTTGTTTTCTAGTTAAGTTTGCTGTACTTAGCTTAAATGTTTCTTCTAGTGAAAGGCTGTAATAGCATTTCTCTTCAGTGGATCTTTGATTATTTTAACAACCCTGAAATGAGGTGACCAAATCTGAATCATGCATCTAATTATCTTGCAATGAATGCAGCATAATTTATGAGTACTTGAACAGTATTTCTCATCTTCAAAGCACTTTAAAATGCTATTAAGAACCTCCTTCTGTAATAGATATTATCCTCGCTGTTGCAGAGGGAAATCAACAGAGAGGCCAAGTGACTTGCCCAGGGCCACAGTGCAAACTGGTAAGACCGCCAAACCTAGGAATCAGTTTCTCTTCACCTTTTTGCTTGACATCTTTAAGTAGAAAGTATCCAGAGTATTAGCTTCTGGAATGCACAACACAGCATACGTGTATAACACCATGTTAAGGACCACTCCCATGTGTGTTTTTCAGAGAGAGTTTGAGAGCCAGTACTGTTCTGATCCCTGAAAGTATAAGTAGGCTGTGTGTGACTCTTTTCCCCCAAAACAGATTAGGTAGAGAAATCAAAATAATGTAAAGTGGTTGACATTCACAGAAGGAAGACTCTAGGAAAGCAACTATGATATGGGAACTGACTTCACATGCACACTGCATAAGATAAAAACGAAGACAGACATAGCATGTGCTGTATAATCAATGATCTGCTCACAGGCACTAATATCCATCATGCGAACAGAGTACTTCTGCAGAACTTCTGAGTGGTACTCCACCAAAAAATATTAGTACCACATCATGATGATACTATTGTAGATCCTTTTCGTTTGAATGACAGCATTGTTTCCAAGCTGTGTATTGTGATCACAGAGAAGTTTGGGAGAGTTCAAATGAGAGGGTTCAAATAAGGTAAAGGACAGGTTACACTATCCAGGAGACCACTACCTACCCGTCACTGGTGAAAACAGTGCCATTTATCCAGGACCAGGGGGAATGAATATTTACACAGCCAATAACTACAGCCAGCTCTTACACTTCTGCCCTGAACTGCCGAGGCTGATGTTGGCAATTAAAGACCATTAGCTTTTCCTAGCTCATTTAGACACTAGCTGGTAAATAAAACTGCTTAACTCTCCTCCCTTGAGGTGCCCAAGTTGCTGCCAACTTGTTGGAGAAGCAAGCCGAGTTTACAATAATCAGTGGGTCCAAAACATAATGAGTGCTTGTAGAGAGATTAAGAAAACACTGATGTAAAGTATTTCAGCACAAAGATTACATTGTCTTCCTTGCCTCTTCATTATGCGGTTATGTAAGGCTTTATGAAATTAACTGTTTCACACAAAACTGCCTTGAAAAAGCAAAGCAAATGAAGAACTTCCTCTTCAATGCACACCTCTGGTAGCGCTTGCAAGGTAGCAGCAAAGCAAGCCCATTCTGCAGTGGCATTCTGTCGGCCCAAATGAGAACCCATGCGTACACTTCAGGAATGGCTTTGTTATGGTTTGATTTTGCTGTACAAAGCACTTGGCTGTTTGCAAAGTATTTCTGCTAGACACAGCATTTAGAACTGGCTGTAAGTTTAGGTCAAAATATATGAAGGATATGAACTGTGTTTTTTAAAGTGCCTAGCATGATGCAATTTGAGGAAATCAGGTACTAATGTGCTTCAGATTTAATAAAATCTTCCAAGTTTATAGTAGTTCCTCTGTTTGTATATAAATGCAAATTATTTTGACAGAAATTAATAATGAAGTTTGGTTTTTTAAACTCTACATTGTATTTGTAGTTCTTGCATTGTTTTTTGACAAATGTCCAACAGGATGACTGGTGGAGGAATGTGTATGTAAACAGAAGCAGCAGCACTACGGTGCCATCTATTTTTTTGTGGTCATAACGAACAGCAGTGCAGGAAGATGTGCATTTGCCTCCCTCCTGTGCTTCAGGAGAGGAAAGGATGCTGCCCAGAAGATCAGCACCAAGAGGAGGCAGGGACAGAACTGCTGTCTGCCAGAAGTCAGGACGGGGACTTGCGTTGCACCTGTCAGACTGGGGGACCTGCAAGCGCGTTCCTCCCCTTGCCCAGGTTGGGTCCCATGCGAGACCAAGGCAGGGTCTGTCCCAGCTACGCTTGCCAGCACACCTCGCTTGGCCTGCCTCCGCAGGTCACTACTTGCAGTGCCTGCCTCACAGAATGAGGCTTGGATGAAAGAGGGAGAAGGGGCTGGGCCGGGAAGACTGGCCCCCAGCCCAACCCACTGCCACACTGAGCAAGCGCAACCCTTCCTTTGCATCTCAAAAGCTCTTTGCCTCAGCCCTGTTTGACTCCCATTACTCTATTAAAAGCATAAATTCTTGCACGTGCCTTTTACAATTAACATTTTCTTTCCAGCCTGGCTAACCCCTAAAATTAGCTTCCTTGCTCTGAATACGGCTTGCTCTCACCCAAGATTATAATAAAGTATACTAATAGTTGAACAAAACTACTTAGAAATTACATCCAGCTTCCTAATCTGTGCCTGCTCTTCGCTGCACTAACGAGAAACTACTAAATTACTTGTCTCAGTGTAGTTTTGCTCAGACACAATAGCATCCATCTTTCAACCAACACCAGGAAAGGCCAACTAGCTAGATACACTGAGGCAGGGAGCTACAAGGTACTAGCAACTGTGTACAATTATGGGGTGGCTCCCTGTTTTCTGCACCCCTATTCCTGGAACATTGCTGGTAGGAAGGCAGACCTAAAAACCCATGCCCGTACCTTAATTTGTCCCAGACCTGGCAAGGCAATCCATCAGCCTTTCTGGCCTGAGGCTAGAGCAACACAAAGCCTACTGAACCCCAATGATGCTTCATAACGACAGTTTACTTTTGCTTTACACAAAACTGCCATGAAACTTCTCAATTATAAATAGCAGCCCATTCTGATATTTAATAAAGTATATCAGCTCACAGAAAGACCAAGATAACTATGGAAAACAAAATAGTGAGTAGGTCTACGCTTCCACGTTCCGTTTATTGGTCCTATGTTTAACATAAGGCAAAAAATACAAGCGAAATAGCTTGTGTTTCACAGCACAAGCCTCTAATCTCTGCAACTCTGAAGTGAAAGACAATTGTAGAAGCTGCACTTCTTAAATGAAACACGTTTAAATATAAAACCAGTAAAACCGCTAATTAAGCATCTCATACCATGTCATCTCACTGGTTTTAATTTGCTGCAATGTTTTACAATAGATGCACATGAAAGCACTGTAAAATTTACAGGACAGAAGCTAGAGGCTTCTGCCCACGTGGATAGGGAACTTGTGGCAGCTTTAAGCACATTGAAAAGCACAAGAGATGTTTGGGATTGTGAAAAGAGGTTTGTAGCAACATTTTGCTAAAATTATCTACAAGAGAACACTGAATGCACTTAGCAGTTTACCCAAGTCATTAAAACCTGCCGAATAAAGGCAGTTCCTGTCATAGAAATGTTGTTTCAAGCTCCCCACATGTGACAGGAGATGACATCTTTTGAACGACAGACCCTTTTTCTCCTAATATGCCACATCATATTAGCTGCCTTGCAGGATTTATATAGGAGACATGTGCGTGTATGACATCAGAAAACAGTTGTTACAACCCTCAATTTAATAACGCACCAAAAAAAAAAATCTTTCAGTGGCCCATTTTTTTTAAAAGGTGTATTTAACTATAGGTCTCTCATTCTCCCTTAATTAAGCTCCGATTTTGGTAAACCCACAAAAAATTATTTCTCTATTTGTCATCTAGTACAACTGTATCTTCATATTGTCACTGCAGCAGCTTTATTAGGTACTGTCATAATTAGGCACTGCATTCTTTAATCTCTGAAAGCTAAAATACCTACGTCTAGGAGTGCTCTTTTGGATTATGTTCCCAACTGGATTTTAAAACACCTCTTTAAACTCCAAGTGGAACTTGCTTCTACTTTCAGAAATCAGAATATCCTCTCGGGGACGCAGATAAAAAAATCCAGACCTTTAACTCCCTTCTTACAGCAGTACTTCCAATTCTACACAAAAGCTTAATGGCTCACTCATGAGCAACTGTCAATGGGGAGGATAAAATGTATATAGCAGGATTCCATTGGCAGTGCAGAATTTAAAAGAGCTTTAAAGATATTGTAAGAAAAAGGAACAACATTTTGTGTTGTGGATAAGAGATGCTTGATTTATGATTAAATATATTTTGGAACACAACAGCATTTATAGCAAACTTTTATTCAATAGTTTAAAAAGTGTATGGAAATTTCCATGAACAAAGAGTTACTCAGTGGGAAGCACCTTCTTTTCCCCCTTAAAAAGTTCTTCTGCAAGAACATCCATTAAATGCATTTACCTACAGTAATCAGTTTTAAAATGCACGGGTATTTTTGGATTTCTTGTATATATATATATAGCATTTCCATAGTTAAGAAGCTATCATCCTGAGCAGTGTATGAAGAGACATTATTTAAACCACCTAGTTACAGAACATTTATATAATTGACAACAAGCACAGAACAATTTATAGACTTTAAACATTTAATGTGCCTCTTCATCAAGGAAGGCAAATGATAACTGTAGGACTGCTTAACACTGCAAGTGTCAACTTAGTATCATGTATTTAGATCTGCAGTATAAAGACACACACAAAACATTTTTGTGGAGTACATTTTGTTACAATAAACCAAGCTTGTATTCCATCATCATGTGTGGTTCTCCCATAACCTCACTCTGTGAAGGATCTGGGGAAAAAAAAAGAAAAAAGTCAACAGCATGAGGCTTTTACCAAGCTACGAAGACCAACAATAACTATGAACACGACCCTATTTCTTTCCCTGCCCCCCCTTCATTCTAATGCTTAGTGCAACAGTTACTCAACTGATTTTTGACAGTGTTGCACAACACAGGTCTGTAACTCCTAACTCTCCATCCAAAGCAATCATCAGATAACAAATACATCTGTAGTGGAACAGTGTTTCATAAGGACACACACACCAACTACTTCTACGTAAGCGCTGTCTCCTATAGCCTGAATCTCAAGGCTGATTGAGTTTTGTGTTTAAGAAAACTCAGGTCTGCTGAAGCTTTTCCTCATAGGTGCCCCACATCTCTTTCCAATGCAACTTCTCTGTACAATAGGAGCTCACACTCCAGCCCTTCTGTTAATTGGGACATACTCACGGTTTCTCTTCTCCACCTAGCTGCCTAGTTTCACAGAAATTCTATGCCCTTAGATATCTCTGATATTTCCTCCATTCTGTAAAGCATGGTTGACATTAGCCACTGTACTCAAGGGTTATCAAGGAATGTGCAGAGGACATAAGAGATACCAATACTGACAATATCAACTTCATTTCCATAAAAAAAATTTTAAAAAATCAAGGCCAGAAAAAAGGTTGTGACTACACTTTGGAAGAAATATACCTTTCTTTATGGGTGTATCAGAGTGTTTTCCTTCCATGAGGCATATTAATGACTTTGATCTCCCCCAGAGACACCAAAATTATCTACTCCAGCCCCAGGTGATAATTAGAACCTTACCAAAACCCCTTTTAACCCACTCACTCCTTAGCACTCTATAAATACGTAACAGCTTGTTGTGAGCAATGGTAAATAACCAAATTCCTATAAATTATGTTTGATATTGCTCTACCCCCTGAACCACAATAACCTAAGATTCCTTCCCTTGGTCCCTGTAAACCCATCCCAGAAAATCCCAGATTTACCTCACACCTCTAGATTCCCCCTCCATTATTTCCAGTTTCCTATCTCCCTGGCTCTTTCCACTCTCCAATCCCACCTCAAAATACCCTCTGTCTCCTTCCATGACCTTAACTACCAGCTAGAAAGATGTAATTTTTTAAAAACTATTTTTCCAGGTTTATTCTTTTCCACATATACTGTCAGTTGGTAGCCCACCACACAACTGCGAACTGTTGAGTTAATCTGAGGGAGCCTTCCCCCTGCCACATCTCTGGTGCATTAGTTCGGTACCTCTCCTCTAGCCTTTCTTTTTAATTATAGAACTTACAAAAACTTTTTATCTTTAACCTCCGCCTATCAAAATCTGTACAAGCAGTTCAAAAGTTTCTGGGGAAACAGGCATACAGCATAAGTGCATCATCGTCTACTCCTTTAGAAACCCAGCCCACAAGCAAATACTGGCTTAGTAAATATTTCAGAGTAATTTCCACACAACTAGCAGCTGAACCATACTTATTTCTCCTTCCTCCAGTGCTTCTTTGCCTTTAGGAACTCGATTTTTTTTTTTATTTTATTTTGTGCATTTTATTATCTTATTCTGTAGAGGCAAAGAACTTCACAGTTCACAAATTCTACTTTTAAATGTTTCCGTAACATTGAGACAGAATGTATTTACCATTAAGGATATCCTCAAAGCTGATGCATTCATCATTTCCCCTCAGAGTATCCAGTGCTATGTTTGAGCTGTGAAGAAATGGGAGACGCTGGACCTGTAAAAAAAGACAAGAGTTCAAGTTTCTGCCAGTCTAAAATTGAGGGGGTTTATATTTAGATTTTTCAGTCTGAAGTGACTGAGAAAAGTGACAAAGTCACTTCTTCCTTCAAAAATGAGATAAGAGAACTACTGGCACACATAGGTAGCAAAACCTACCTAACACCACCATCTTCTATTGTTTATCACTCTGTTTTGAAAAGGCTTTGAAAAGCCTTTCACTAGATTTGTAGCTTTCACTGCAGTGTAACTACTACAGCAAATAGTGTAGGTCCTCCTCTGTTATCACATAAAGCTGGGGAGGCTCACTGCAATAAACACATCAACACCCTGAGGTCAGTACTGAGCAATTGGGATACTGCAGTGTTTGGAAACTACATTCTAAGTTTCCCACATCTCTGACACAAGTTAGGAATGTAAGTGAAAGAGCTATACTGATTTTCACACCTAAACATAATCCTCCTTGCAATTAATTTAAATAATTTCTCTGATCTCCACCAATTCTTAAGCTTCAAGTCCACTTCCAGTTACTTTCAACACCCTCTTCTGCACCACTCACCCACAGTATTACAAAAAAATTTCAAGTGGTACACACAGCATTCAGATCCTAAGTATTCCAAGAATGGCATAGTTGTACTTACAATTGCATTCGCTACTAGTAGTGATACTTCAGTTATACCAGGAACATAGTTTACAACCATAAAATTATCAGGTAGCTATCTCTTTACACACAAAATATGTCAAAATATTTCCATAATCACTACTGGTACAGTTGTCAGAAGTTCAAATACACTATTCCAGTAAATATTTTAGAAAAGTGAAATTAAATCACAAGAGAACTTGTATATCTAACATGAAGCTGGGAGTGAAAAACCTTCTAATTACCATATTTGCCTCCCCCTTCCCCCAAGAATACCTGTGGAGACACACTTGCAGGATATCCTCACATGCCTCATTTTCTGCCACGTGCTAACATCAGTTAGGAAACAGATATTTCCCCATAAGACAGCACAGCTGAGATCAAGTGATGTTTTCATACACCCTGTCAGACTTTCACATCTTCAGGACCAGTAATTTCTGCCAAGTTTAATGCAGCTCACTGGTTCGGTAGCACCTGATCCACTAGAAGTGAGTATAAAATCACTCCAACTCGCTTGGAAAAACAACTCTTAATAGCTTGACAACCTTCAACAAGCCAGAAGAGTTTACTAGGACCAATGAGCTTTCTGTGTTTCCTAAGGGACAAAGTCAGCCTCCCTCCAGTTACTTTCCATCCTAGGTGATAAGAAGGAAAAGGACACAGACTCAGCTTCCCAATTAAGTTAAAACCTTTGAACTTAACTCCCTGTAGACCTCCCCTGATCTTACAAGAAAGGCTGAGGAACAATAATAAGCACATAGCAAATTCTCTGTTTCAGGTTTCACATCACCTCTTTATCCACTCCCAAATCACTACCTGCTTCAGATCCCTAAGTCTCTTTGCCCTACAGATGCAGGGATTCCTTCCCATGAAGGTTGTATGTTCTACAGAGGAGAGTATTAATTTCATGAATTAATACTCAATCCCTCCTGCTTTTCTCTGAACGCTTACAGGAAGCTAGTCCACAGAAAAGCTAGAGCAGTTACCACTTCACCAAGTAACTAATAAAAGAACAGCAGCTGAAAGGCTTTAGTATATTGACTGTTCTGGAAACTATTAATTGCAAAGTTTGTTTCATTGGTTTTAATAAAAGCAGTCCAGTGAAAGCATTTGTTTTGGAACCATAAGGTATTTCAACAGAGAAAGATGTCTCTCTGAGAACATTTTCCGAGATAAAAATTTTTTCAAGTGGCTTAAGGTATACCAGTTGTATAAAAATACCTACCTGTTTCACTGCTCTGAATTCCATCTGCATCTTTAAAGGTGCATGGAGTCCTTGAATATTTCTCAGTGTGGCAAAGTTTGTTTTATCTTGATTTAACTGGAACTATCATAAACAACATTAATTTTTATTTTAGAAAAACTTACTTTCAAGTACAGCCATAGAAGAGATTTGTAACATCCTACTTAAATGAACATGCTTATTAAATGTATATATAAATATTCAGTGATTACATTATATATCTCAAATGTACATGAAAGACAGTGATGCAGTAATATTCATTTTATGAAACTGAAATTGCTTTTTGCTGGATTTTATTACAAATCAATAGTTTTGTTATTTTTGACAATCAGGACATGTAACACCACCAAGTGGTGTAGTTTTGCACTACTTTACTACAATATTGTCAGCACAAATTGGAAGGTAAGTCTGGCTTAAAGTGAGAACACAAACTTGAAAGCTACAATTGATGTTATTGTTAGCCATCAGACTCTACCTGAAAACACTTGAAATACTTATTTTTCTGATCAAATAGTAAGACAGAGCGCCACATATATTCCATATGACTCCAAAAAGCAAAAGAAAGTTCTTAATTTTACCAACTGCTCTGAAACCAATCAGTAAGACAAAGAAAATCTATTTAGTAGAGGGTTCTTTTAATGAGAAAGTACTGGCTCATGAATACTGAAGTACACAAAAGTAACTTATGCTTAATGTTAAACTTTAGCTCGAGTAATCCAGTCTGAAATTTGGCTTTTATAGTAGTGACTACATGCCTGTAATGTTGACACACTACCATATTGTAAAGTAAAACAAAAAATACAGATCTCTTATTTTAAAACTGTACTCAATTACCACAACAAAAGCCTACTAGTACAAGAATATCATCCCATTTATGTGAAGGGATCTCAAAAAGCAACAGGAAAATACAAGTCAAAGGCATTAACATGCATTTTTTTCATAACAAGCTATATTGAATGCTCTCCAAAAGTTAGCAGAAAATGCTATTTATATGCCTCATCCCAAACTTACAACTCTGGTCACATTATTTTTCCATTTCTTTTATTTTATAAATTACCTGGGTAGATTTGGTTTCTACTAGTGCTACCTGAATAACCTACCAGTAAAAACAGCCATAACTATCTCAGGCTAAGATAAGTCTTTTCCCAGTCAAACATACATGGAAATAATTCTTAGATAAATTGTCCATAAACTTACAGAAAAATTAACCAAAAAATATGTGGAAAAAACCAAATTAAAAGTTTCACATAATTCTTAGGGGATTACATTGTCCATTTTAATTATTTCTGTGCATTTTTTCTCTCTAGTAAGTATTCTTTTAATTATGCAGGTTTTATACAAGAACAGTTAAAAAGCAAGCTATAGTAGTCAGTTGTAAAAAAAAAAACATCAATTGACAAATAGCTCTGAAACATTTATAGTATTTATAAATAAGCTTGTGAAGTTGGTGTCGCATTAACATCATCCTTTTAACTCAAGACAACACTAGCACTGGTTAGAGTTAGAATACATTAGACATTACATTCAGACCTCATCATCCTGATTAGCTTAGCAATTTGGAACATTATATCCAAATACTGCCTTTGCTTCAGGGCCTTTTATTACATCAGATCTTCTGTGCTGACAAAATGGGCACCAGAGACAAGATTCAGTTCAACGAGCTATTTAGCCAAGGCTGTCAGTCTGGTCTCCCTTTACCTTCAACCTATGGTCCACAGACCACTCTTAAGTGGTCCAAGAGCGATGACTAAGCCGGACAAGATTGCATGCACTTACGACAAACTGTACATGTAAAATTTCTAGAAAAATGTAATGAAAAGTATTTATGTGTTCACATTAAGATATATGGTAAACCTATAGACAGAATGGGAGGATCAGCCTTGCAGAAGTGACAGGTGTGCCCCCCACCTAACTATAGAGGCTGCATATACAACTAGCTTAATAACTTTCAGATGACTAAACCTTACTAAATAAATCCCTACTTGGAAGCCCACTTGCATACTTGAAGTGGAAAGAGTCACAAGCAGAAGGTTAGCATTAAACAAATTTGCCAACAATGTTATTTGTATAAATAAATTGTTACTGTTGTTATCACACAAAGCAGTCCAGGTAACCACATTGTTAATTTAAACTTCAGAAATAGCTAAGAGTGAAGATGGCTACATTTGATGATATACTTACGTTTTTTTCTGACAACTCCAGTGGGTGGCTGGGCAACAATTCGTTTTTCACACTTGTAAAGCTAGAAACACAAGTAAAAAAAACATAATTGAACTTTAAAAAGTGACATCCTGATTTATTTGAAGTTGCATTCCAAAACTAATCTCAGATACAAACATCAACCCAGAGCAACACATAATTAGCACAGTTTGAACTACAAAGAAAAAAAAGCTTAATAGTGAAGGAGCAAATAAAACCTCTAACTACAGCACTACCAGGAGAAAAATAATTTAAATTTCAGGCATCCTTTTTTCTTTATGTTTGACAAAAAGAAATGACAGCTTTTCTTCCTTGACCCCCTTCAGAAATAGAGAAAAATATTAATAAATGAAAACATCACAGGTTTAATTATGTCCAAGTTACACAGCATCTGATTTCAGAAGTCCTCAAACTTTTGCAACTGAATATTGTACATACCTTCCGCCTCACTCATAGTTGTATTACCCGCATTTTAAACTCCATGAACTTATTTCAGATTCATTATCCAATACATGTACATAGTTTCGCACTCATGTAAAATGGCAAAATCCAAACCCACTATTTTTACTATATTAACTTCATTTTTTGTACCAATGCTGAAATTAACCATTTCCCACAGTGCTACGGCACACACATATACATGTATATTAAAACTAGCATATATTTCATAATTATTAATAACTTTGCCATCTCTTTTCTAAAGAGCAGTATCACCCAGGTAAAAGTCTATTAATGTTATCTACTTCTTGAAGTGCTGTCTCATGGAAAATCCACACTTGAAAGACAATCTGATTAAATACATGCACTTTAGGGTACAGCTTTTGCAATACACCTTCCAAGAACCTTCTTTAAAAAGCAAATATTTAACACACACTTTCTTCCTGTATCTGAAGTTCAATGTTGGCTATGGCACAATTCAACAAGAAAAAGTAAAGCATACCCTCTACGCAGAAGATCATGACCTTCAAATGGTCCTGAAGCTGAAAATTCAGTAATTGGGATACTATCCTTCAGCAGACAAGAAGTGCCTCTGGAATTCTGGAACAAAAAAACTGAGGATTACTTTAGCAGAACCAAACGCCTTTTCTATGGGCCATTAGGCCAGACAAATGAAACAAAGGGCTCAAAGACTCCTTAAACTATGCATGTAAAAGCCCTACACTTTACAGTCTCTTAAAAAAAAAAAAAAGGCTCTTAAAAAACCAAAACACAAACACCACACTAAATTAGAATTCTTTCAGAGAGTCTGATAACCGTTAAAGGTACTGATAACACATTTTTTGGATCTGGCTGGAACAGTTAAAGTCGCAGTTACCCCTTGTCCATTCCCACCCTGAGCTGCAGGGATGGAAAGGAAGGCCGCAGGTCATGCTCAGCTGACAGGACAAAAAGGAACACATCTGAGCATTCCTTCATTTACTTCAGTAGATCAAATTGATTTTATCCATGGTTTAAGGCCGCCATAAAGAGGACAAGGTGTATTCAAGTGGTCTAGTATGCCAGTTAACTGAAAAAGCAAAGGAAAAACAGTAACTTGTAGCAAAAGACCAGAAAAACAAACCTCCACAGACTTACTAAGTAAAGCCATCTTAATCCAGACCACTAATGTCATGCTAACCTGCCCGATTTTACTGAAGTGATTTTAGGATTGTTCATACAAATTGCTCCCCCAATAGGCCAATGTACAATAAATTCTGAAAGGTGATAGCAATAATCTCTGGAAGGTGATAGTGATGAGCTGTTCAGAGCAGGAGTTTCCTCCAGCAGCACTATTGGATTCAACAGAAAATTCATGCTTACAGTTAAGGTATTTTGTACTAACGTATTAACTGTCAATAACCTAACAGCTAGTAGAAAACCCTGAAATACCTGTTATTACATGCATACAAAGCATCTACCAACTAACGTACTCAACACTGACCAGACGTTTCCGAGATTACTATAAGTGAAAGCATAAGACATACATTACCTGGAAGATGTGACAAGAGAGAAGATCAAAGTGAAAAGGAGACAACCATGAAATTCTCCCAAAAAGTAACGCCCTCAAGCCA